CCGATTTCCGAATTTATCCTAAATTCCCAATCGAAATATGACCTTACTTCCGAATCTCCGATTCGAGATAATTTTTTTAAATCATTTCTGAATCGCAGAGATTTTATCGATCAATTTATTCCAAAATCTTATCAACCTAGTTATTTCAAACTCAATAAAAATTTAAATCTCAATCATAATATAACTAAATTATAAATGATATCGTAGCGTAGCCACATCATACCTTATTACATGCTTGAGAAATCATCCATCCATTTCCTTCAAGCTCTGAGAAATCGCAAATATATTTATTTCAATCTGAGAAATCGCAATTTTTCAGAGAAGCCCGACGAAATTTCTTTCTCAAATTACTTCATCATTGAAATTCAAACGTCTAGGAAGAGTTTGGGACCTACCAGAAAAATGCTATGGATGCTAGCAATCGCCGCTGATTTCCTATCATAATCCGGCTCTTCTCAAAGGTCCAAGAGCTTACCACCTACCACGAAGATGAAGTGTGCTTTAGCAACGAAACGAGCAATCGATCTGAGAAATCTCCGATCTATTTATGTCCAGGCTTTGAGAAACTATCCCGCAAGTTACGTCAACTCCTGAAATATAGCCAATTCTAAAATATCGCCATGTTCAATTGGCCGAGCAATGCGGCAGGAGAAGACTGAGCGGTGGAACATTCTTTTTCAATGAATGCCCAGCCCGGCAGTTCGACGAAAGAGGGCGAGGAAAAGGGCAACAGAGACCCCCGCCGCAGAGGTTCAACCGCTGCTCTGTGTCTGTCTGTTTGTGCCTGTCTGCCTGTCTGTCTGTCCGTCTGTTTGTCCGTCTGCTTGTCTGCTCTCTCTTCTCTGCTGTCTCTTGTCTTGTGCCTCGTCTTTGTCTCTTTTCTATTCTGCCCTCCAGTCTCTGCAGCCTCTCCTTCTCCGCAACTCTTGTCTCCTCAACTCAACCCTGAAACTGTCCTCCCGTCTTCTCATGAGCAGCACGTTCAGACGATCTTGTTGAAATGATACATCTTGAGTCAAAGTGTCCGCACTGCTGGATTTTTCAGTCACGGTCGCGCGGATCGGCAGGCTGGCTCCAGCCCTCACTGAGCGTAGACTTCCCGGTCGCGGCATCGAGGCCCAAAGGGCTCAGGGCTGAGACCCAAGGAGGTCATCCGGGCCACACGCAGCCACAGCAACGGAAAGCATCATCACATCCAATCACATCCAAGATCCGTGGACGTCGATTGGAGCGACACAGTCACAGGTTTGTTCAGGGCGCCAGGGGTTAAAAATGCGCTCTGCTCCAGCTGCGAGAGTTCCTGCCAGAGCAACTTCGCGAGCTCACTCATCATCTCTGCTCTGGTTCTGAAGAAGGCCGATTGTCTCCGTCTCCAGAGACGAAATGCACATGCAGGCCCCCCAACAGCATCACCGCATGCGCATGGATCCGCTTCGATCGGTGGGCCTCACAGCGGTTCAGACACTCGCCCCAATTCTCGATGAGCTGGCTGCAGCAAGCGACATCGCCCAGCGGGGGGGCGTTGCACACGTTGGGCTTGTCGTTCAGGTCGAGCTCCCGATCCTGATAGCTCCGGGCCACCTCCGGCCTATCTTCTGGGTCCGTGGCGCAGACAGTGCCGCAGAAGACGGTGCTCGCAGGTGGTCTGTTTGGTGCTCCGTGGGTAGGTCACAGGATGGAACCACATATCACATAGCCTCCCTTCGGCACAGGTCTGCCACATCCAAGTGCGAGAAATTGAATCCGGCTTCAGGTCTTCTTCACCAACTCTCCTGGCCTTAGCTCCGACATTACATGTACCGTTACACCGAGTCGCACCTCCGGTGGCCACATGTATCAGAAAAACATTCAAAAGCATCCGCCATGTCTGTCTGCAACAGGGTGCGCCCGCCGGGTTGGGCTTCTTACCCAGGCAGCGCGCATCCCGGCTGACCGTACCACAGGTTGTCTGGGTCCTGTCCGATGAAGTTGTTGGGGTGGTGAGCCTTGCGTAGAGAACTTCCCCGTATAGAAATGTCGTCCCGGACTGTCACGCACTCCGCGCCGCGGTCCTGTCTGCATGCGACATGAGGGTTTAAAGGACCGCAGCGTCACGGCTCAGGCCTGGCACCAGTCTCTGCAGGTTCTTCCCGGGAACTTCGGGCCGCGCAGGCGAGCCAAGCCTCGCATCGCAACAGCAACAGCAAATGAGACAAGAAAGACAACGACCCGAAAGCACGCTTCGCGTTCGCGCGATGCTTCTGCCGGGTTCAGCCATCTTGAGCCATGAGGCGCAGTTCTCACCACCATCTTGAAGTTCTTTGAGGAGGGCATTCTTGACCGAGTCGCTGAGGCGCTGAGGCACGCACTCCTTGTGCCAAATGCTGCCATAGGGCGCCTGCGTCACGACATTTTCTTGGCGGTCGCATCATGGAAGAAACCACCAAGCGCTGCTTCGAAAGGCCTGAGGAACTCGCAAGGGTGAACGTCGGCGATTCACGATGCACACTCTTTCGTGCCGGCCTGAGCATGCGTCGCTGCAGGTGCGACCTTCCAGCTCTCTGACGAGGTACTGCCCACGACGACTCGAAGCACTCGGCCAGGCCGCTGGCACTGTCAGCCTGCAGCCCTGCAGCTCAGAGGGATGTCCAGAACTCAGAGACATGTGGGCACCCATGCCAGGAAGCCGGCGATCCCGATGTACAAGGAATTGCGCAAGGCTGCGAGGAACCTTCCATGTGCAACGAAGCTGTGCTCCGATTACTAATCACTTCACCCCATTATTAATTGGGAAGGGGGGTGCGGGAGGAGGGTGTTTAATGAGGGAAGGGCCTAAGGGATTACCTACCCCCAGGCGCAAACCGCTAACCTAAAACTGCACGGCCAATCCCTGCGCCCATCGTCAAGCATCACACTCGTCAGCTGACCCTCACACCTCAAGCTACCCGGCTTGTGGCAGGATCAGTCAGACGGCACTTCTTGGAAGGCACTCTCAGCAATCAAACTCACTGCCACTGCTGTAGAAAACAAGTCACGATCCCAAAGTGACCCATGAAACGAGTTTGTTCGTGTTGCCAGTCACTTGTCGCGCGTACATTCTCTAATAAGCACTCAGTGTCTTATTAGCTACGGGGTGCTTATTATATATACAACTTCTATGGTAATAAACACGCATAGCAAAACTTATTCAGCAAAGGCACATGGCAAGTGTACATCTCCAGCCTATCACCAAGGTCCCACGTTGCCATCACCAGCACCTCATGAAGGCATCGCTTTCCAAGTCGACCCGCATGTGCTTCGAACGTCCCTACCCCAAGAGGGTTGGGGCAGTCCAGGGATAGTTTGGGGTTGGTCACTCCATGGATACTCTGGGGTTGGGCACTCAAGGGGTACGTGTACTCTGGGGTGGGATACTCCGAGGTTGCGCGCTCCAGGACTCTCTGGGGTTGGGTTTCCGGAGAGAGGGCGAGGAGTAGACCAAGAGAGGAGAATAGCTGACTTTAAAATGTAAGCCCCCCACACCGAGGGCGCGGAACAAAACAAATTTATTTTACTTCGAACGTCCCCGCCGTACAGATAATGGATATGCGAGGCTTATACAAAGTACTGAATAATAAACTGTAAACTGTATAGTCTCACGGTAGTCTCTGGGGTTGGGCACACCAGGGAGTCTCAGGGTAGTCTTTGGGGTTGGGCACTCCAGGGAGTCTCACGGTAGTCTGTGGGGTTGGCACCCACAGGCAGTCTTGGTCAACGGGCAAGGAGTAATAGCTGACTTTAAAATCTAAACACCCCACATGGAGGGTGGGGAACAATCCTCCCATCTATTGCAACGCTGCTACGCTAAGAGTCCCAGGACGATGCAATGTACCAGGTTTGTGCACCTCATGCCCTATAACCGTAACCTGCGGCCTCCATGCATCGGACAAAAAAATGAGCAGACATCGAGAAGTGCTGCCCAGCTACGGCCAGCCGAAGAGCGTGCCAAAAAGGGAGCAACACGTTGCTTCCTCCCAAGCCTTCCCGGCCGCCCGCAACGCCTTCTTCTGCCGGCGGCGCTGCTTATGCTGCTTGCGCTCCTCCTTCTCACGGCAGATTTGCTGCAGCTCTTCCAAACTCAATTTTTCTAGGAACTCTCTGGTGTAGCGCGGCATGGCTGCAAGGGTGCGGTTTTTGTATTCCTTACTTGGGAACTTCCGATGGATCTGATCGCAAGCATGGAATAATCGTGTATAAGGCACTGCGACCCTTGCATATGCTGACTTTGCTCCAACTTGAGAGAAACATGTCAGATCCCAGGCGTTTCAATAAGAAGGGAAAGCATTGTGGTTAGTCCTATTGTTAATCTTATTGCCATCAATACCACGATGATTTTGTTGTTGTTGCAGCCAGCTTTCAACCTTGCTGTGATGAAGATTCTCACCTCATAATTGATGTAGCTGAGAATTCTCTGACTATTTCGTTTTGCTATCAGACGGTTTGGAAGACATCTCAGTTCGATTCTGCGCCGCCCATTTCTCGCCTGGACTGCGCCATTTCGTACACAAGCCTAACTACAGCCAGCGAGTCAATGACGAAAGCAGCCTTGGCCAAACGCAGGCAAGGCGAGTGTCATCAACACACAAGACGTCGACCCATGATTCAATGACAAACGGTCTTTTCGTGCGACAATAGGGATCCAGTCAAGAATGCTACGCATCAGGGAAGACTCCATAAACCATGCTACTGAAATCCAGAACTCTCACGCTTGAGGCCACAATCCCACCTGCTTCTTTTCTTTATAGTTGTTCACGTGGGAGCCGTGATTTACATCAAATGAGAAACCCACGAGCAGGGAAAACAAAACAGGAGTGCAACAAAGCAGAACGCCCTCAAGGTAGTCTGAGACGCGTGATCCCTCTTTTCACGCCGCCAGCCACTGCGTAAGAAGTTTCAATGCCGGCATAGTGGAGTCTGTGCTGTCCCACTAAACCGCTCCCATCAATGAATTTCGGCAATGGCTACAACTCTACCATGAGATTTCAAAAATGGACCACGCAACAGCCCTCCTCGCTCGAGTTCTCGTCATGCGAGGATGAAGACTCAAGTGAGGATGAAGACTCCTCCTGGGCCTTCTCAATCAGCAAATCCTGCAGCAGCGTTCGATGTGTGTTCTCCCGAATGCTTGGTAGTCTTAATTGGGAGTGCAAAACTCAATCGCTACGACGTATCCCCACAATTGTTTGTGTAGGCCCCTGGAAGGCTTAGGATCAACTTGAGATTTGACTGAGAATGAACCCCTGAAGCTGACCAGATACCTCCTCACCTTTACGGATCCTGCTGATATGATACGTAGAACTTCGCCTAAGCCTTCCAGGCCCTCAATCGTCAGAAGCAAATTTATGTGTTCCCTGCATGGAGGAGAGGTTTGAACTAAGGACCAAAGGCCACAACGCCAGCAATACTTCCAGAACATCAAGGGCAAAAACTAGTCAACACTTTGTTCAAGTAACACAAACAAACACAAAATGACACACTCTGATCACTGCTTTTCTCAAGCCCGTGTGGACTGTCTCAACTGACCAAAGGAACTATCGCGACTAGTTTCGATCACTTAGGATCTCATTCAGGCCTCCTATGGGGCAGTTGGGCCAAACTCTGTGACAAAAGACGTGCACTTGCACATGTTGTTTGAGAGCAACGTCTTAGTCACTCAGATGTGCCACATGTTTGATTTTTTGCAAAAAATCCAGCACCCGCCCGCCACTCAATCCTTTGCTGGATGGCGCCAATTGTGCGAGTAAAGAAGTCTAAACACATTCTTTTGACAAAGCCAAGCTATGTTGATGCTCACTGGTTGACCGAAAGCCCCCTCAAGCCAACCAGAATGCCGATTCAGAAGTCTACGAAGCTGACGTCTGTCGACTGAGCGATGGTACTGCAACTTGAAAAAGAACCTGATCGGTTGATGTTTCTTCGTGAAGACTGTAGTTGATGCAGGTTTCTGCTTCAACTCATGCTTGTGCACTTGCCGACGAATCCAATAACCTGCATAACCTCTTTCTCGCAGTCTGGATGTGAAGACTTTAAGGTGTAGCAGCTTGTCTTGTTGGTATACATTCGTCCTGTCGATTCTGCGCAACTCGCCTTGCACAAAACTTGCGAACATGTTGTCGGGATGACAGCTGTTGGGAGGAATGTACTGGTATATATTCATCGGCTTCCGGTGCATGCTCCACGTAATTCTTCGTGAAGTATCAATGAGCAACTCCAAATCCAGAAACACCGAACGTGCAGATGTTTGCACGTGGTCCCACTGGATGTTGTCGTGGAATGCGTCGAGTTTGTTCTGGAACTGTTGCAAGGTTCTGCCCGAAATGCAATAAACTGCGTCGTCAACCAAGCGTCTGTAGAAAAAGGTTGACTAGAAAGTGCACTTTACCGTCTGAGTGGAAGCCACCATCAGACCCCAACATCGACAAGTACATCTCCGAAACCACTAAGGACATGAACATGTTCGCCAAATCAGACACCAAGCGCTTCACAAACAATTTCACTTGGTACGACCGCTTGGCATTGAAATGGCTTCGCGAACATCCTGATCTATGCATCGTGGATTGTGACAAAAATGTCGGTGACGCCATCGCCGACCAATCCTTTGTGCAAGCAGAGTGTCATCGCTTACTTGCTGAAGGGTTTCAACAAGTCACAAAGGCGGAATACACCGACACCGTCCGCCAAGTAAAAACAGCACTAGACTGTCTATTCACAGATGCAGGTGTTTCAGGTCAAGTCCCGGAGAAGGTTGGCGAGTTCATCAAACATCGTTTCACTTCGTCATACCCAGGTGAGTTTCGTGTTAGACTCAAGCTACATAAACAACCGGTCGTCGGGCGCCCCATCGGCAACTTGACGCAGAGCTTCCTCCAGCCTCTGGCCGTTTTTGTCAATGAGGGTTTGACTCCGATCATGAAGACATGTTCTACCGTTGTGGAATCTTCCGCGCACTTCGTGGATGCTATCAAAAATCTGGAAGTTCCTGAAGGATTTATCCTTTGCACATCAGATGTTCGCAACTTGTACCCGATGATTCCCAATTCAGGTGGCTTTGACACAAGTCCCAGAGCTCTGTTGCCAGTGTTGTCAAGACGCATCAGACAGTTCTACAACACGAATTACAAATTTGGGACTTTGCTGATTTCAAGCATCGAATACCTGATGAAGGGACAGCACATAAGCTACAAAGGCCATGTATACAAGAACTCGTCAGGAATTATTACAGGCCTGGCTTGTGCAGTTACAATGGCAAACATCTACATGTCGGAGTTGGACGGTTTTGCAATGAAAGACTTCTACCCACAAGAGATGCTTTTCTACAGACGCTTGGTTGACGACGCAGTTTATTGCATTTCGGGCAGAACCTTGCAACAGTTCCAGAACAAACCCCGTGCACCCCCTAACAATCCACTGCATATTTGGGCGTCTTGGAAGTCCTGAGACCTCGCAATCTCTACCAGCACAAGCCAACATTGGGCCAGATCGTCGAGCAGTGCTCGGGAGTGGTGGGGAGTAGTGAGAGGACGACTCCCACTCCCGACCACCAGACAACTTCCTGCCCTGCCCTGCTGGTTGGCTTGGAAAGATTTTGGGAGGTCTTGGAAGGTTTTGGGGGGAAGGACCTGCAGAAAGATTGACATCTAGGATTCCGTCTTGGCTTTCCTCGGGGTTCACGTCGACCGGCAGTCACGCTTTCCAGACTCCGGCACATCTTGTGATCAACCCCCGGCTGAAATCAGGCCACCCAGAATCCTAGACTCAAGCGAAGAGGCCAACACATTGTTATCTGGCCCAAGTAGGTACTTGAGCAATGTTGTGCGACACCAAAACAGGCATATCAAAAAACATCTTTCCTGTTCATCAGGCCCACCGTAAGATCCCAAGACCAAGAGATGACAAGGAACACTGGGCTCCACTGGCTACGGCTTCAGCATCTTAATGGGCAATCACACAATGATGTTCCCCCCCGGCTGCCTTGTCCATGAGATTGTCCCGCCTTGCAGGTTTCTGCGAGCATTGCGGCCACCTGCGAAAAAGCTGACAGGTCAGATGTTGTCAGATTGGACGGAAATGAATGTTACCAACTGCTACGACGGTCGCACGGGTACTTTCAATAGCGTGTATGTCGCTTTCCAGCGTGCTGTTTCTGAGAGACGGCCCTCGCAAATCTCATGTCCAAGCCCACCTGATGCTTGCAGAAATCTAGCAGCCCAGCTATGTCTGCATTACTCGTGATACTGCAAGCCCCCGAATACAATAGCAATAAATGTGCCTATGGCTGGAGGCAGCTGACATCGATGCAGTGACCTGCGATGCATTTGCACGCTCACGGCGCCAAAAGGACACACGACCCGTCTGCTAGGCAGGAAGTAGAGTCAAAGACATGGTGCACAAAAGCGGTTCTGACGGGTCGCAAAATTTGCAAGAGGTCGGAAAGGTTCCGTCTACGATTGCGGCAGCGTCATGGTTCGTATGAGGATGGGCACTCTATACCTAACCAAGGACAACCAAACTGAGCAACAGCTGATAGGAGCACGAAGCGAGGCTGCGGGGATACAGCATTGACTAGCGTAGAAAAAGATTGCTCCTTAAGAAACTCCATTAAAAGAAGAAAATCGGCAACACCTGTTAAACGACAGAATCCTACATATATCTCACGTTGAGGTTTTCCAAGTCCTTGTGTGCAAAGCGGCCTTCGGGGTCCAATCTATGCCCGACTCAAGCCAGAACGGTTCCGCGCTCGCCGACTGAAACACTTTCTGTAATCTGAAATCAGGATTTAGCAAGAGGTCAAGCTGCTGACTCATTGCCTAAGCTTGCCTGGGAGAATGTCTGCAAAAGATTCTCTGCATTAGGACCCCGGCCTGTGACAGCACGGTTGTTGAAGCATGAGAGGGCGCCTGGCTGCAGCGCAAACATGGCCCCCTATCAAAAACAAAGCCCGAAGTGTTTCATGGTTGCATGGATCGAGCCACATCCCTAGCTAATTCCCCTCCCTTCGAGATTTACCTGGATTCGCCCAGTGTCATCCCACCTTGGCATGCCTCTCGTAGCGGCCAGCAAATGCGGAGTCATTGCCGGCAAGCCCCTGGTCCGCAATGTGGATCTGCAACTGTTGGGGCACGGGCACGAACCTGGCAGGAGCTCCAACAGTAAAGGTTGAGGCAGCTGATGAAAACTTGGGGCAATCAATATACATGTTCATACTTGCTTGCACGCCCTGCTTGGAGCACAGAGGCGCAGCAAAGGAATACAATGCCACAGTGGGCGTTGCAGGCGTCCACTATAGGCGACGGTCTTCCTTCCACATTGCCCATCTGAGGTCAGCGCGCTGGCATGTTGAGCACAAACGATGGTGTCTTCCTGCCCGAGCGCATCATCCAAGAATCATCCACCACAAGCTGGCGATTTCTGGCAAAAAACGGAGTCTTCTTAGCAGCTTCAGGGCCGATCAATAGCCTCAGCTCTGGGACGACAGTCTGTAGCGCCGCTGCGGCTGTCACAGCTCAGGGTCAAGTTTAGAGTAGAGCATCTCGCGCTCGCCGCTCGTCCGTGTTTCCGTGTATTTCCATTTGTTTTTGCGTTGCATTTGGCTCCCTGGTTGATGCCTTGACTCTCCAAGGCACGCAGTGGCACGCTGGGGGAAAGGGAGCACCGGCATTGATGCTGACGATGCTCGATGGAAATCTGCATTGCTGCTGAAAGTTACGTTGTTGTCATCGTTGGCATATGTTGGTGTTATTGTTACTATTCTCCAACACGAAACAGCATTGATGCTGGCAATTCGCCGCGATAATGCCGCGATAATCTTAATCTGCATGTACTGCTGAAACATGCTGAAACTGCATCTGTATTGCGCACGGCGGTGAAATGCATGAGCATCTGCTCTTTCCATACACCATAGTTGCAGCAACACTTTCTCAGGGTTCAGGACCTGATGCGTTGACATAAGTCGAAGAAACGGTCACTCGATGCAAACCGGCGCAGGTCGCAGGAAATCTTTATCCAAAAGGCAGTTTGAAAGCAAATTTGCGTCCCATTTGCCGGTTTAAATCCATGGACCAGCAGGATTGAGCGAAGTGATGCTGCGCGCGGTGAGCACGTGTGGTAGCCCAGCATCAATCAAATGACAGCAAATGTGAGCAGTGCAATTGTAACAACTGACAAGACGCGCGGCTTGCTGACACCAGCAATGACGTTGTGCTCGTGCAGGATTCCATAGGATTCCTGTGCTGGAGATTCCCCCCGTCACAGCTGGTCAAGTAGATGCGAGGCGGCCGGTGCGCAACTGTTACCTACAGAAAAGGGGAGGGAACGTTTCGGAGTCCCAGTCCGTGTAGGGAATGAAACAATAACAAAACCATTCATGTGTTTGTCCCTAAGAGAGCCCAGTCTTCGGGCCTGACAGCACCACAATTACCAAGTTGTTACAGCCAGCAGTCAAGCTGCGTCAGTGAAACAAAGTTGGCAAGAGGCCCACCAGAGCTGCAGAGGCACATGTACGCATGTACGTGGTAAATCACATTGCAGGATGCTTAGAGTAAGCGGTCACTGAAGGATTGGCATAGCCACCATGCAAAAAGCGAGTCTGCCCGATATACCCCACAGCTCGCTAATCACCGAAACGGCCCCAAAACAAACAGAACGAAAGGCCCAGTTGTTCTACAAGACCTTGAGGCTTCCCATGGAATACAGTACTTGCAGGAGTTTTTCCTTGATATCGAGCAACAACACAGTTCAAACTGCAGGACTGTAAGCTCCGGGCGGGTGAGCATGTCCACATGCGCAAGTACAATTTCGCTTGCACTGGCGCAAGTGGACCACGGGGAGGCGAGCCGCCCCAAAGACATCCTCGGCGGCGCCTCATTGTATACAAATTTGCAAAAGACCTGCGCGCTAGGAGTCCTGAGGCACCAGCAGAACGCGCTCGAGGACGTGTCAGCGGTGGAAGCGAAACCATGCTTCGGCGGTGGGTCCGAGCGAAGTGTGCCACTGTAGTATACATATTCGCGGTTTGCATTCTAACGAGAGCGAACCGTGCGGCGTTGGGGCACAAGCCAAGCCGCTATTGTCTGTGTGTGGGTGTGCGTCCGCTTCAGTTCTGTTGAGACTCTGTTGAAACATGGGTCCAGGAGCACAGGAGCATGTGGTCCAGACTTAACCCCATTCGCAAGAGCATCGTAATGCCATGCAACTTCTCACATCTCCCATGCTGACAGCTTTTCCAGTTTCAATGGCTTTTGGAAACCCTTGATGTGACCGGGAAGCCGTTTTCTTGCCCTCAGATTGGGCCTGAGCGTGATTCTACCATGTGCTACCCATGGTATTGGAGGCACTTTGGCACCACCTTCCACAAGGCCTGGACAAGGGCATGTAGGGTTATCTCAAGCCAGCACTCTATGGCTCGGGCTGTAGTGCTAGGCCATGCAGCTCCGCTCAGGGAACCGCCGCAGCCTGCAGAGATCTGCAGAGGATCTAGCGGCGTGAGCAAAGGGATGCTTCCCTGTTGGAGTAAGGCCAGCACCCACCGCCCCGACAGGATGGCGCCATGCTGCAGCAACACTTTCAAAGCTTGGGCCGCAGCTTCCTCGCGAAGCCCGGGCCCCCATGCCAGAATATGCCGAGAGCAGCTTCGTGGCCTTGCGAGCCGTCTCCGGGCGGAGCTCAAACGGTTCCTTCGTTTTCGACATCAGGCCTCGCCCGGTGTGCCTCCAGAGTGAAGCGCATCTCGTAACATCCTGAGCAAATAAACAGGATGCCACCGCACGAACTCCTTTCAGGTGGAGCTCCGTTCGGACAGGCCATGAAAGTCTTCCAGTGCCTCGGAAGCCTGAAACTTCAACCGAGCGGCGCTGCATGAAGAAATTGCAAATTTGTCGAGCAGAGGGTGCCCCTGGAAAGGTAGACGGTTCGGGAGCGGGTGTGTTGACCTCTCCACATCTACTCTCGTTCTTCCGAGTTTCTGAGACAAACAACGATTTGGATTGTTGCATGTGCAAACCCTCGTTGACGACTATACAAGTATAAGGCCTAGGAACTAGAGCAGAGACATCTCGAGAAATCCGCGGGGCGTCAGTTGGTGCTTGCCCAGCCTTTGAATCAATCGACTTCTCCGCCATTGAGGCACCGCTCAACCTCATTCTGCCATAGCCTGGCTCGCGATCGCAGGATTGCAAGACACTTTCGTTCTGACGGGATGGAGAACTGCAGCCTCATCAACACACGTTTCCTCCACGGCTTCCACAAGCCTGCAGCCACGGCAGTTGAAACTCGCTGCCGCCAGAATAGTGGGACCCATCAGCAATGTGTTGCGAACAAAACCAAGCACGTCCATGCCTCTCCACTGTCAGCTCTCCTTCATCGTCAGCCCAAGCTCCAAGCAAGTAGTTGCCCTGCTGCCCATCTGTCACCTGTGCTGAGCACAACGCGGGCCGCGCGCTTCTTTTACCCAATGGGGAAGCCTTTGCAAGCAGGTGCACGAGCGGATGTAAGGCAGGTGGCCAATATGCTCGAGCCGGGAGCATCTGAAGGACATGGCCTTCATGCAAGCGGAGCTAGACCCCATGTTGCTCTTCGAGGGGGCTGTGCGAGGGCATCGGGGGCGCGCCCTCTTCGAAGCAGCTCCGATGAGGCTCGCCCTAGGGCATGGTGTGTGTGTGTGTGTGTTTTTTTGTTTTTTTTTTTAATGTGCTTTTGTAGGCACCGCCGGAGCGTATCATGAGCATCAGTTGCACCCCTTTTTACGGCTTGGAGAGACTCCGAAACGTCGACGAAAAACTGGAAAAACGAAACCGCGCAACTTAGCGACTTTCATCTCAGCACAGCATCAGAGCCCTTTCTGCAGGCAACAAGATCCCCACTTGTGTCGATGATGCTCCCGTTTGGGGCTACGGAGACTTCTTTCAGGCGTTTTCCCAGGCCGCATGCCAAGGCAAAGCATGCACCGATTGGGACGATGATGCTGCTGAATGCTCCTGATGCTTGCGTACGGCGCGCGCGCGCATGCGGGGGAGGGGGGCGGAGGGCGGTGTTTCTTTCCAACGTTTCGGTTTAGGTATCAGGTATGAGTGGGGTGGGATGGGGTGGGTGTCCTGGTGGGCATTCCGGCCCGTGCCGCCAGGCCCTACAATATTTCTTTCCGAGTGCCACATCTTCCAGAACGCAACAAGGGCAGCTGCAACAGTCTACCACGGTACGAGAAAGATCCCGCTCCTGTGACCATGATCAAGACCGAATCAGTAGTGAACTCCGGTAGGGAGAGTTTTCTGCAGATTGCGTCGTTACTGACGATCGTATGAGCACTGCTGACGAAAAATCTGAGAAGCCTTCTCTGCTCTGCGCAGGGAAGTTGTGAATTGCGGCAGCTGCATGTCCGTATGTTGCCACAGCCTTGCTTTGATAGTCAGTCTCAGTGTCGGATTTGTAGGACTTGCTGAGCGCGAGCTGCCATGTGGGACCTTCATGCAGGCAGTGATCGCATCCTCAGCTTCATTAGCTTCCGATATCATCTGTACTTCTTTTGCCTTCCTGTCTCTCCGCGAAGACATGGAGTCGATGAAGTCGGTGAGCCAGAACCACCGATGTTACAACGAGCGATACTGGCGCAAAGACGCATGGATGCCATCGGCCGATCGATCATGGAAGAGTTTCGCGTGATTATTCCTGCTTTCAGGTCGCGGGCGGAAGTATTTGAGTATGTCGTCCACCCAATGTTCATCCAGAGTCCTTTCGTCTTTCTTTGTTCCAGTGACATATTTGTCCCTGGTTCTTCCACATTTGGTTATCTATGTGAGTGTGCAAAGCGTGAAAAAACTCGAACGCCCGCGTGGTCAAACATAGAAACATGCTCGACTTTCGACGACTGCTGGCCTTTTCTCACCAGCGATACGGAAGACCGGTTCCGTATCAGAGCTGAGTTGCTCTCTGATCTAGTTTGCTGGTCATTAGGAGTCCTCTGCTGTAAGGCTGATTCTTGCAGTGAGCGGAAAAGCAACTTGCCAGACTCTTGTGTTAAGCTGTCGTTTGTTATGAAGAGCCAGCGTCAATCAATTTGCTGCAGCTGATTACCAGAGAGTCGTTCTGAGGCGCCATGGATAACCAGATGATGGCAGATACGAGATGGAGGGTCTCGCAAGCTTCGATTTCTCAGATGCTTGAGTTGTTGTGGCAAATCTGGGACATACTCAATCGAAAACGTCGATTTTCAGAAGGCCCAATTCGCTGCCGTCACAGATGTCGTGGGGTGACAACAAGCGCTGCTTTCACAGTCATTCGGTCCACCAGGAAGAGCGTCATCCCTGGTACGGCCCTCATAAATGCTTTCTTCATGATGAAGAGAGCATCACGCAGTGGAGTGATGCACATGAGAAAATGATTCGCGCTTTCGCTGTGCTGTGAGTGCTGAGTCGGAAACGCATGCCTTCTCTTGTGCTGTGCTGTGAAGCTGTTAATGCATGTGAGCACTCAAGAAAGTAGTCCCTGGTCCTGTCCGCATTCTTTTGCCTCTGTGCGATGTCTTCAGCATGCGACCCGTTAGCGCCGGTGCAACGTTGGATTACGTACACTCAGTGCGAGGTGCTGCAAATCCAGCGTGAGTTACATGAGTGCAAGCAAGAAGTATCGGCCACTCAGAAGATTCAGCAGCAACAGCTGGACAGTGTGCAATCGCAGATACGAGAGAGTGAGCAGCGCATCGCTGAGCTGATACATGCGGTTACTGATCTGTTTCAGAAGCAAGGAGGGACACAAGACTTGCTTATGAAGTTGTTCGCCGATTTTGTGTCGCTACGAGTACAGAGTCAAGCTCCAGAAGCGAGCTCAGATAGGTGCCAGCAACGCAGCCTTATCATGGATAAACACATTTGGCGTGCTACCCCTTCCTCCGTGAAGGTGCGTGTGTGTGTGTGTGTGTGTGGTGTGTGTAATTCCTGTTGCTAAGGTTATTGTAGGTACCAACGTGGACTTGCAATCAGCAGGGGGGCAAGGGCTCCAGTGATAAGCCTTGCCCAACGAAGCCAAATCACTGGACTGTTTGATCAGCGCTGTGTACGCGCATTCAGATTAGCCAGTGAGCCCCCTGTGGCACTGGAGTCACCAACACTCGAGTGAGCGCGATTGCGCAGAGTGCGATTGCGTTAGTTTTGTCAGGTGTGTAGTCACGCACAATGTTATCAAAGCTCAGGTTGGAGACCTGCACATGTGTGTGTGTGTGTGTGCTTATGTGTGCTTGCTTATTGTGCGCATCTCGCTCCCGCCACAGTGCGCGCACCATTGGTTGCTGTAGTGCCAGTATGTTATGTTCAGTGTGGTTCTGACCAGCCGTTTTGAAACATCTTCATCACGATCGTGGTCATCGTGGTCGTCCTAGTAACATCGGGGTGTGCATCGTGCGTTGTCTTGGCGTCTTGCGCTGCTTGGAAGTCTACGTCCGGCAAAATAGCCTTGTCAACATTATGTTTGCCTCGGCTCCACTACTTTTTGATCCTGCGGCGGGGTTCGCTGCTTTGATCTGCTACTCGGCGGACTCCACGAAGCACCAGCACCTTGCGGTTTCGAGCCGCGCGCACGCACGTGCGCGAAAGACAGAGCGTAAGCTTCTCGGCAGGGAGCCTCTTTGAGGTGCGGTGCCACTCCTGGCCAGTCCTGGTCCTGCAGGTGCCTGGCACCAAGCTCTCAAGCTCGGGGAAAGCTCTTGCTGCTTGCTTCTGTGAGCCTCCGGAGGTTTCCTCGCGCAAGGCAGCAAGCTAACTTGTTGATACTTGTTGCTTTGGTCTCGCCACAGCTGAGCTGAAAGGCCGAGGAGATCACCCGGTGAGGATGGCGGTGAACTTGCGCTTCACGAGGCCCAGATCCTTGCCAACCTGCGGAGCAAGTCAGCGCCAACCTGCAAAAGGCTTGCCGGGTGTTTGCTTGCCTCCCGGACAAAGCATCTCCTCGTGTCGACCTATCCCAGTGCAGACATCTGGCAACAGGCAACACGCAAAGCGCAAGAGGCGGGGGAGCAAAGCCTCCAGCAAGAAGCGTGCATTGCGTGGTGCTGCGTACATCATGGGCCCCACAGGCGCCTTGAAACACGTGAGGTATTGAAACATAAATCTGCGAGCTTCAGTAGGTATCCGGCTGGTGCGATGCATGAGTATTTCTCCTCCTCTCGTTTTCCAGCTCGCGCGGACATTCATGGCAAACAAGCAAAGTAAGGCCTCCTTGCCCAGATCGATGCCGATCTCTTCAACCTGCAATCCCATCTCGGAATCTTCGCAGAGCTCTCTGACAGGCGGACGCGTGCAGTCACCACGTTCTGCTCACCTCGTGAGCCTCCGGGATGATGAGGAGGACACGGTGTGCCTTTCCGTGGCATTGCTATGCATTGCAGGTGACCGAGCCCAGGCCAAGCCGAGCCTCCAGTGGAGCGCAGTAAATCTTGTCATCAGGTCCGAGGGCAGCACACGTATACTTCGCCTTCCCCCACATCTCAGTCTCTTGGGGTTTCGGCCCTTTCTAAAAGACAAGTGGCGGAGGCTAGTTAGTTTATTCCAAGAGAAACAAACTTTAGCAAGAAATTTGTTTCCAGAGTTAAAGCTGTTAAACTAACTAACTCGTCGGGCCGGGGTTTGTTTTCCTGAAAGAAACTAACTAATATGCCTCGGGGGAGGGGGGTGGGGGGGGGGAAACTAACTAATTCGCGGGGGAAGGGTTTGTTTTTCCTACAGAAAACAAACTCTGGGGGGAGGGGTTTGTTTTCACGAGGAAAACAAACACCGAAGGGCGGTGCCGGGGTTTTTTCCTACAGAAAAACAAACTCTGAGGGGAGGGGTTTGAGTATACCCCGAAGGCCTATTCTGCTTGTTTAGGTCGCCCTCGCGTTGTTCTCCCCCAGGTGTTGAGTTGCTTTGTTCTGGCTTGCAGAGATGGCACAGCTTTGGCTCACTCCAGCGCAGAACGCCATCAACTCGCTCACCATGGCGTGTGGCCTTGACGCCTCGAAACTAACTGACGAATCCTCTCCATGGTGGCACTGGATGTTGTCACGTTCATGGCCAAGTGATCATACACTCGGCTGGCAAACGTGTTTTCCAGCCTGTAGAGGCCAGCTCGGTCGGAACCCGAAAACTCGCCGACCACGCAATCAATTTTGATGGCGAGCTCCTCTTGAGCGATCCCCAGGCTATCTGAATACCTCGTGTTCGCCAAGAGAGCCCAACCGCGGCCATCAGAACTTATGGGAGCAGCCACTTCACAGTCCATGTGCCACTCGGCACAGCGTCTCAAAGCAACTTCGAAACCTCCCCAGAGAACCTCCAAAACCTCAGGATTTCCGGCTGTTTCTGCTTCCCTCTCAATGCCCAACTTGGCCTCTGGACGCCGGAAAGCACACAGGAACTCCTTATGAAGCAGCACGATGTCGGAGTTGGCCAGTCTGCTGATGGGATGGATATCCGCTGGTAGCTTCATGATAGGTGCAAGGCGGGTCTCGGCCAGGGCATTCTGCTCCATGCTCGGCGGAAGCGCCAGGCACCCGTCATGCTCAATTTGGTACAACTCGAGGCCCGACAAGCGAAGGAATCTAAAGAGGAAGGTGGCGTGCCAATGGGCCTGCAAGATTTCGCACGTCATTACAAGCACCAGCGACCCCTCGTGCATCAGAGGCAACTGGAAAAGTTGACCTCCGTAAACTCCGATGTACACCTTCGCCGCCGAGAGAGACCTTTGCAGGCTGCTACAGAAAAGCCACCGCCCATGCTGCTGCCTACCGTAGATTGAGGTATTTGGGCATTTTAGTGGGAAGGAGTTGACGGATACCTCACTCTGCTGGCCCAGCTCTTGCCCGCGAAATCAATCAGCGTGGCGCCCACGAGCTTGGCCAACTCCTGTAAGCCCAGGAGCAAGGAAGTCAGGCCAGGATTACTCCCTTAAACTAAGCGTTTGGCTCGGTACTTCTTTGGCCAGGCTTTTGGAGTCCTCTGCGCTTGCAAAGACCCGGCGGGAGGCCCCACGCCGTGCATCCAGTAGCACCTCGGGGAGTTCCTCTGACAGGTCCTTCGGTCCGCTGCCACGCGCAAACTCGCATGCCTGCGCTGTCCGGTGGTAGTGGGTCCGGACTTGTCGAAAGACGGTCTCGGGAGAGTAATGTGGCCAGGGCCTTCCTGGCCTGCTCCCAAGCAACTCTTCGAAGCCTCCCGTCCGTGAACGTGGGTTGGCACTCAGAATCACGGCTTCAAAGCAATGAACTTCGTCTACGCCCATGAAAATGGTGGGAGACTCAAAAACTGTTGAAATGAAGTCTTCTTGAAACCGTTTGACACCTGCTGCGCCCAGATTGGAGTGCAAGTTGGCAACGGTGCGCCGGACCTGCAGGTCCGACATGTCCTGGTTGGCGACTCGCACAACCACATCTATCAGTGTATCATCGAGAAGGAAATGCCCAATGTTCGCACAATCGGGGCAGCGCTGGCTTTCAGAATGACCATCGTGGACAAACCTGCTGAGACCCGGCCAATGCTCATCTGCCGTCTTCCAGACTTCTGCAAACTCCTACAGGGATTGTGTGGGCATTGACCCGCGGCAGGTCAGGTTGTACTTTGACCACCCAAACGAAAACGAAAACGATTTTCACTTGCGCCAACTTCCGAAAAGACGACTTGAGCCCTTCAACGATTAAAACTCGTTCTCCAAAAATTCACGCACGGCTTGCAAAACACCCCACGTCGATCGAGGCAGGAGGCTCCAAAGACTTGCTCGTTAGTGATAACATAAAGTTCTGCGAGTGAATGAGTCGAATGTTTGTCTCAAGACTTTTCGGCTCAGTTTACAGGTTTGGTATCAGGGACACTGCCGTGCTGGTTGCCCTCGCTGGTCACTGTTTGGTGGCCGCGACTCTCGTTGGTGGTGGCCATCGTCCCCGCGGAACGTGAGACGAACCCGCAAGCCCCAGACGGTCCGCCACGTGGCGAACCGCCCGATGGGCAGACCCCAACCGGTACTATGTCGGTTTGGTGGAGTGGATGGAATTTCAAAGTTCTCTTCGGCTGGACCAACTTCGCCGTCTTCTCGACCCCTGACCGTCGCGGATCTTTGGGGACTGATGGGGGTTGGGCTCTCTACTTCGTCCAGCAGCTGGTGGACCGCCCTTTCGGTGCTTCTTACCTTCTTGGCGACTGCTCTGGCTTGGTCTCTCCGTGTTTGTGAACGGTGCCTCTGCTGCGGGTACTGCTGCTGCCGTCGGAGTGGACCCCGCTCTTCAACCTACCTGAGACTCCGGTGCCTCAAGCATATGCCCCAGTCACACTCGTTGGGCTTGGCAGTTCTACTTCGGTGGATGCCGAGTACTACCAGAGGAAGGTAAGAGGGAGGAGCTGGATGCAGACCTCATGATCTGGTCCTTCGGTTCGAAAGTGGTGCCGTTCGGGTTCAACCTGATTAGACCCACCGGACCCGCGACGACCGACATGGCCTATGGATCAAACCAGACGAGTGCTTGGCGTCACCGCCCGGAATCTGCACGAGACAGTTGAACGGGCACATTTGATCCACCTCTGCAGATCAGAGGAGTGCCAGCAAGAAGGTGGGTTTCACTGCAAGTCCTATGCAGCCATCGACGCCGATGCGGTCATCGACCTGGGAGCATATGGGCGCTTGAGCAGCTGGAGGGTTTTGGTCCTTTGCTGGCGTGGTGTTCGTGCTCTACGTCGTGCCTCGGCCCAATGCCTCCGTTGCTGCTCCTGCCGAAGATCTACTGGTACGACGACTGTCCTCTGAGACGCCTTCGACTTCTCCCACGAAGAGGTACCAGGAAGAGGAGGTTCCAACTCCGAAGAAAGGCCGAAGCGAACCAGCAAGGGAGCCCTTGCCTTGGGATGAGCGGATCGGTTCCCGGATTCTGGGAATCAACCGCGGCGGGACTGTTCACTGAAACGGACAGTTCGGGCGGATCCGGAATCTCTTCGTGCGTCAGCGACTGGGAGCTACGAATAGAATGGAGGAGGGACTCCTCAGGTTTAGGACCTGAACTCCGAGGTGCGGGGCTTTGCGCCCGACCTGTTTCAAACAAACGCTTCTTGCAAAGAGGTGTGTGCCAGAATCTCTACTTCCTCCCCTGGCAGGAAAGCATATAGAGCTGGCTGTGGTGGTTGCAAAGGTGGGCGCATTCCCTACCACTTAAGTCCGACAACTGAAGGTCACTGTCAAGAAGCCGAGTAGGTTCACTTGCAGCCCGGTCTTCGCAACCCTCTGGGACTAGAGCTCGAGGTTTCCCTTGGAGCTCGGGATGATTTCAGCTTCCGATTCGGAATCAGGATCCAAGACCCGGGTCACTCCGTGGTCTTGAGTTTCAAGAGTTTCTCTACTCCCCCCGACCGAACTTGAAGGAAGAGGGCTTTCAGTGCAAGTAGTCCAACTTGCTCCACAGGCGTGGCAGTGGCTGCGGGACTGGGATGGGAAGAAGGTCACCGGGCGAGCAAGTGTCGCTTTTAAGATTTTCATCCAGATGGTCATCCTAGGGCACGACGAAGGTCGAGTCCTGCCCGCCGCCTTCCAGTCGAAAGAGAGTGAGTTCGGAACCCCACCCCGACCCCCTACTGTCGCGATCGCTGAAGCCCCCCAAAAGACTCCAGAAATCAGAAGCAGAGGTCGCGCCGGATCCTTTATGCTGGACGATGCCATCTGCCCCCGGAGGTCGGACCGCCCCTTCCTCCACCTCTTTTTCCCCCAGGTCTCACCACAAGCTCTGGCTTTGTCGTTCGTCAGGGACCCTCTTTCAAAGGCAGGAGCCTCCTTTAGTGAACAACTCGGCACCGGTCGAATTTTTTCCACAGTATTAAGCGAGCAGGTCTGCATGCCAAGCATGAGCTTGGTCTCATCGAGTGGCCGGTTCTCATCACCAATCGGGTCGCTCTGGCTGTCGCAGGTCTTCGGTGGGGGGTACAGAATCCTTCACCCTTCAGGCATCAGATTGTGCCACCGCGCGATTGGAGCACATCGAGAATTGGAACCCGCCCACCGAGCAAACTGGAAGCCAGAGCCCGTTCCCCTACGACCATCCTCACATGGCTTCGGCATGCTGAGAACGCTGTGAAAGTGTTCGGTAGTGCCTATGGGTTGGAGCATGTCCAAGAGCGAATGAAATTCCTTCAAGCATTGAGGGAGGCACATGAGGAGGACGAGAACGCAGTACCGCTCACCTACGGTGTTCAGCTTTTCGAGGAAATGACTGCGGTGTGGTGTGAGAAGGTACGAGAGAAGCGGCGCATTTTGTGTGCCAAGCTAGGGAACGAGAATCCTCGCCTCGAGGACATCAAGCTCCTTGCGCTCGCGGCGGGCTCGGAGGGGTTGCCTAACTTTCAGTTTCCCAGGGTATGGGATTTATCCGACTCCGTCGGATATTATCAAAGGGTCGTTCTCCCACGGCAGAACAAAGCTATGGCCAGGTTGCTTAACAAGCAATTGCATGATCATGTCACCAAAGAGCGCAAGCCAGATCACCGCAAGACCGCAGGGCCCACCGATGCTGATGCACCCCCAGGCGTTCCGCCCGAGGAACCGGATAAGTCTGGAAAGGGGCCGAAGCTCGCGCTTAAGACTGACCCCCGAAAGCGGGAGAAGGGACGAAGGCTTACCCGCTGGAAACCGCTTACCCCCACTGAGGTCAAGCGATCCATCGCACACGCCCCACAATGCCAGAAAGCGAAGAAGCCTATTTGTTGGGATGCTGCCTGCCACATTGGGTGTCATCGCGCTGCATGCCCGCATGCTCACGAACCGCTCCCCTCTCTTGCGAAGTTAGACTATACGGTCGCAATGCAGGTGCTCCGCCGGGGTGGGTTGACAAATGGCCCCAAGATTAACCCGAATGAGGTTGATGGACGTATTTCACAACTACGGGCCCAGGCCAAGGAGGAACAGGCTTCAAAGATTGAGCCAAGCGACACCGCCCGAAAGAAAGCCAAAGCTAAGGCTAAGGCCAAAGCCAAGGAGAAGGCTGGCTGGGCGGTCCCCGAAAACTACCAAAGGCCAGTTACCGCCATGGAACCCCGAGCTCGCACGTGCGCCGGATTTCGACTGGCACGCCCGCTTCTCCACGGACGCCGAGCCTACCGGCATTCAGTCATCCAGCGAGGAAGCGTCCCAGTGTCGGCATTTGTATCAAACAGGTACTGACCTCGAACGTTCTTCAGCCTCTAAAGGGATGCAGTGATCATCTCCACTCGCATGTGGCATCGCATCTTGTCAACGGCGCCCTCACCAAGACTCAACCGGATATCGTCTCCATACTTGCTCAGGCGGTCGACTACGGCCACACAGCTTGCCGAAGAAGCTCAGACGTACCTGGAGGCCCTCGGAGGAAAGGCCGGGCTTATAGCCCGCCGAGAGCTGAAGCTCACTTCGAACCCCTGGACTGGGAAAAGCCGATGTGAGTCGCACTCAGCTGGTGTTCCACGACCCACTCTGGGATGGTGTCCCGCCCCTTGGAGTATGGTTGATGCTCAGGATAAGTTAGTACTTGGTGAGGATTTGCCCTCGCTGCTCCACATGAGCCCTGACACTGCGGTTGAGACTCGCCAATGCCTCTGTTTGCATGGCTCTCGCTTTTGAGAGGAATGCTCAGGGCTTCCAAGGCCCCGCTGCTGCGCTGCGCAGCCTGGCTTTTCAGCACCTAGGCGACGCAGGCGCCTACATTAGCTCCGCGGAAGCATTCGTCAGGCACAATGACCATGACCGCATTTGCCCTGATCATGAAAAGGATTTCCGAGTGCTCCAGTTGTTCGCGCCGTGTTACATGCGTGGGAAGCTTTTGGTCGTTCTGCATCTGTCTCATCGCGGGACAGTCGAAGTTGATCTGGTGAGAGAGAGGTCAGGGTCCGATCGTTCAGACTGGGGCCGTTGTAATCCACCTAATAACCACATGCGCGCCGTTCTTGGAAGCACCAGCTCCGCTGTGGGCCGATTGCCTAAAGTCGCCAGCGATGGCGCCCGTGTTGTCCGGGAGCTGGAGGCGACTGGCTGGGGGGCTTTCCTCCCGTCTCTGGACGCCGAAGGGGACATTGTCCCCTCCACGCCTCATCCTTGTTACCGACGTCGGCGTCCGCAGACACCGTGCAGATGTTGGTGATCCGGCTCGGCCGGCTCCAGATGGTGTCACCGCCCCTATTGAGGAAGCGATGTCTCGGTTTTATTGATGTTGGACTTCGCTGCGAAGGGAGGGCCGGAGGTTGCCTCTAAAGTGCTGCTTCCGTCCCCTTCTGCTGACCACGTCGTATGGCAAGATTGGGCCAAAGAGCATGTTACATCGTCTGGTTGGCGGCAGCCTGTCTGACCCCAGTAGTTAGAGTGGATGGCTTTAGTTCAGCACCTAGGGTTTATCAGGTTGGCTGTTCGTCCCAGCACTCATTGGGAAGGATTCCACCAGCGTCGCCTGGGTTGCTGCGCGCATGGGGCCGGTCCCTGCCTCTCCCACCACTCTGACCGCCTGTTGGTTGGCATGGCTGTCAGAGGGTGCTGCTGCTCTGCCGTTGACGTGGGCGTCTCTGTTTCAGCCATCGTGTGGGGTTTTGCTGCTGCACTTGATGGTGTTGCCTTCCCACCCTCCCTCAGGGGGGGGGGCGGGGCGATCCGAAAATGAAAAGGGGGAGGGACTAGTTACGAAAAAGCCTTCGAGTACCTCGAGCATTGTCAGGCAGCCTTTTCGGTCAAAAAAGCTAAAAACGCCGCCTCAACTCGGCACGCCTGCACAAGCTGGATGACCACTTGGTAGGGGCCAAACAGGGCTTATGTCTCCGCCTGCACAAGGAGTACCTCCGCGAGAGTGCTGAAGAAGGGGTGCCCAGTCGCAGAGAGCTCCCATTGCAGAGTGAGGAGAGGGCTGTGGCAGGTGTGCGGAGAGCTCCTTAGGGAGGGTCCCAAAACAAAACCCCGATCGCACCATGTCTGCCCAAAGCCGCCCTATCAATGATATGCGCAAGCAGAATATCTTGGGAAGAAGTTGGCTGTCCATGCCAACCGTGTCTTTCCTAAGGAAAAAATAGGTTTTCCTACCAAAACCATCTTTGCCTAGGAAAAAACTTTGAAAAACATCTTTTCAGAGTTTGGCCGCATAGTGTTTCAAAAAAATTGGTTTTTGGCCTTCCCTTATACAAGTTGGTTTTTGATTGGAAGAGCACAATGTTGCCGTTGACGACGTGCTCACGTCGAACCTGACCGAGTTGACTGACACGTTCTCCTGAAATGTGAATTTGATTTCGGTAGTCTTTGAGAGATACAGAATCCGCACCTCATGTCAAACCTGAACGAGTCGACTGACACCTTCTCTTGAAATGTCAGTTTGATTTCGGTAGCTTTTGAGAGATACAGAATCCTGACCGTCCGGAAAAGCTAGTTTGACACGGTCTGTACGATACAAAACGAGGATCGTAGTTCTTGGGGGGGGGAGGGGGGTTACCATATATAATATGGTGATATGTATATATATATATATACACATAAATATACAGAAAGCGTCGCGCTCTCTCTCTCTCTCTCTCTCTCTCTCTCTCTATATATATATATGTATACATATATATATATATATGCATATGCATGTCTATATCTGTATATTATGTACTTATGTATGTGTGTGCTTGTTCTATATACCCAAACATAAACTCTCCGTCTCTCTGCGGCGTTGTCCTCGGCCGTCACATTTCTTGCAAGGAAGCGGTGGGCCGGGTGGAAAAGTCCCGTCTCTGCGAGCTGATGGAAGATAACTTCGATGCGCCGTCCCGTGAGGACGGCGGCTGGAACAAAGGGGCTGTGGAAGTCTGTTGCGGATGTACGATCTCGGAGGCACACACCTCTCAGTTGCATCGCGGATCTTTGAAGCTCCCCGGCACCTGGGAAGATGTGGCGAGCTTCGCTCTTCACTGGGACCGGAGGCATTGTCCGGACTTCAAGGTCAGAGAGGGTGCCAAGGGCATCACTGGAGAGACGTTCCACTGTTTGCACCTCTTCCGGTAGCAGGACGGGTGGGACTTGACCGAGCAGCTGATTCCAAGTGTCGACGAGGGTGGTATAATGCCCGTTCAGAAGAATCTTCTGCTCTCGAAGGGCTTGAAGCTCCCGCTGGACTTGCCGCTCCTTTCTCCGAAGCTCAGCCTCCTTCTTCACCAATGCCGTGGAGGCCTCCATGAGCGCCTCCCTTGCGTTGGAACTCTGCCCGTCCGACAGGAACCAAGTCTGGATCTGCACGGCCATGCCTTGAACCAAGAGAACCGCGGACACCTTGGCGAATCCGACAATCTCGGCCTCAGGCGACGAGATCTGAAGCATCTCGACGCAGCGAGGCTCCTGCGTCACCATGAGGCAGACGAGGTATGCCACAGCCGGAATATGTTCTTCCGAGCAGGTGCCTGGAACGCAAGCGTGGATTTTTGAGTCCATGCTCCACATTGCAGTCCGTTCTGTGAACTTCGACAGGATGTCGCGTTGATAAAACTGCAGCGAAACTCCGAAAAGAGATGATAAAAACTGGCTGCACTTGGGCAAACCTATGCGCGGCCTCGTTGCCGACGCAACCAGAATCTGATCAGTACAGTCATCACCGACGGCGACGCCGATTGCATACAGGAGCAGCAGCAACAAGCACATGGACAGAGCTACTCTGCCGTCCGAATCGTTCGCAAGGTGGTGCGGCGGCTTGAGCACAACTGGACTTGGTGCGCAGTTGTGCTCGTTGTCGTGCGTTCAACTCCGTGCTCTTTGGCCACATGTCGGCTATAGTGCAGGACCATTTGCCAACAATCCGAAGCTGGATGACACAGCTTCACAGAAAACTGCCTGGGCCTACACCTTGAGTTCAACAGGTTTGAGCGTGGAACCCATGAGTGCAGTCGTGTGCTTCAGGCCGGCACAACACTCTCTTCCACGAGCACACCTGCAACCTCCTACCCCAGGTCCAGAAGAACCCAATTCTTCGACAACACCACTCCTGTGCCAAGTTCAGGCGAATCAGAAGGCTTCAGTCCGTGCCCCACAACCCGCAAGCACGAAACCTCTGGCCAAGTGGATCCATCCGTGGATCATCCGGAATCTGCCTTGCTAGGATCGGTCGTGCTGTCTTGTCTACGCAGGGGCTTAGCAAACGGACTCGAGAATGTCGGAGCGATTGCAAATGAAATCTCGTTGCCAAGTGTCCTCCCTGGCCGAGGAAGAACCACCGCGGTGGCCTACAAAGCACCTCCAGCTGTGCATTTGGCATGGTACGGTCAGTGAGAGTTGGGATGCCATTTGCAGCAGACAGCAACTCATGGTCCTTCACTCACCCAGTCACCCATTCGTTCAGTATCTGATGAAGCCATTGGGCGAAAGCAGATGTTGTGAACTGCCCAGAAGAGTTACAGCCAAGACGCTGTGGAAGATGCATCTCTCACCAATATGAAGGCAAACTGCTGTCTGAGGCTTGTATTCCCTCTTTGCGGATTGCTGGCCCGACTGCCAAAACCCTTTCAGGCGCTTTTCGGAAACCTTGCAATGCCTTCTGTAGTTACGAAGTCGCTGAACATCGACACCACGCCACAAGCTGAAGTAAGCTCCCAAGTCTACCGACCGTCATCATCAACCACAACCTGCAAAGTGCTGAGGTGTGAACAATCATAGCCTTCAGCTCGCAAAAGCACTGATTCGGAGCCCGAAACTGGAGCAGTATATACATGACAGAGTGCAGGTTGCAACACGCCCATTTAAACATCATCAAAGCCTTAACGAGTAGTCCCAAGACAACTCCTGCTTGCCCCCTGACAGACATGGATTGACCTCGTTGCATCCATCAGAGCGTGAGCTGTGCTCAAAGCTTGCGAGGAAGCTGCAGCCACCCGAGCACCAAAACACAATGCATACAAAAACTGTATCTGTAGGTTACGTTCTTCCTCGCTCGGCTTCCGCCCTCAAAAAGGTCTTCGGTCGACCCTCCAACGCGGCTTCTCCCAGATGCGGGCAAGTTGCTAAGCTTGATGTGCCTGCCTTGATCATGTCCACCATGTTCCTTGGAGCTTTGTGTTCTTTGACGACACTTGCTGCGCACAGAAACGAAGCGTTGACGACAAGACACAGCTGGGACGGTCAACATCTGCGGCAGCTGTGATTCAAGTTGACTGCTGATCCTGTTGAAGTTCTAATCTCTTACACTACTCTGAGAGCCGGCGGTCCAGAATGGTATCCAAGCGTCAGAGCCGCTGTCTTCAACGGCCCACCATCTGTGCACATCAGCCTCACTTGTGCAAACGGAGAACTACGCTGCGCAACGATGGTGCTTCAAGCCTCAAGTCTTGTCGTGTCGCTGCTCAGTTGAAACCATTTCCGACTGACTGGTAGGCATGACATCTTTCGAAGGACGTGGGCGATGCAGGTCGATCACCAAGCTCGATCCAGACCGACATGAGCCCCGATCCGATCGGATCGGAGCCAGATTCATAGCTTTGGTCAGGCATTCAACAGATTTGCGTCTCTGCTAATAAATGCTTCTGATCCTAGCACGCAGAAAGATGACATGAGGCGGGTACCATTCTTAGCAGCATTGTTTTTCGTCAAGTGCAACTTGCGGTTTGATGAGGCGCATGGATGCAGAAGTACATCGCCAAAAGAGCTGAATGGCACGATCACCGACAAGTGGAGCGGGGTGAACCACTGCCGCTAGCGCATCTCGAAAAGAATGCAGCAGTGGCGGCAGTGGTGGAACACGAACCTTGTAAAGCCGCATGCGTTTGAAGATTGTCCTTGCTCTTTTCCACGAAGAAATCGCAGAACTGAAGTGGCTGAGTTGACAAAATCTCTCTGAAATGGCCAAACAGTCTAAAGGGGAGAAGTTCGGGGCGAGAGTCTTGCCACGCACAAGCTGTGAATGAAATCAACTCGGACTTGACAAGGCCACAATGCATCATGTCCGTTTCCACCATCGCCTCAAGAAGTCTTGCGATCCGACACACGGTGTTTGAGCCCAATCCCGGACCCCGGACCAGAGCCCTCTGAGGCCTTGCTGAAACCCCCGTGGCTTTGACAGAACCTCGGCTGTTGTCCCTGCAAGGATGGAAGGGTGGTTGGGCAAAGAGGTCGATACGGAGTCCTACATCATCCAAATCTTTATTTTGGCACGGAAACCGCATCGCAGCACCGGTACAGGACTCTTCCCAGCAAAGGAATCGGCGAAGCTATCACCCCTTCCAACTCAGGTAGCGCAGAAAATATTCCCACATAGAGTCTAGTTGGGAGGGTCCGTGAGTCGCCTGCTAAGTCCACTAGTGGACCAAATATCCTCATACCTGCACCCCTTGTGCCAGGGGCCCCTGCAGCAGCCACGCAGGTGCAAACGCCGCGCCGTGATGCCGACCGTCAGAAGGAAGCCTGCAGGCTTGCTGCATGCTTAGGTAAACGGTCTACACTGGCTGTTTGAACACATTTTTGTCGCTGCAGCAGTCACTGCAGCTTGGCATCCAGCACCTGCTGAAACCTGGATCTCTATTTTGACACGCATGCTGCGAGAAATACGGACTTCGGAGGGCTCACTCGTCTGGGCTCTCAGTGGCAGGTGGGTGCGCGAAAGTGGGAATGCACAGGACGTCCGAGGCCTCTCCGGGCAAACTCTAAGTCCACGCCACACCTCGCCAGTTGAAACACGCAAGCCGAGAGCCCCTGTAACCCGTGCATCGAAATCACTTTGCCACATCCTGCCCCTGCTCCGAAACAAGCCCTCAGAACTTGAAAGTCGCCTTCCGCCGTCTGCGTGTGACTTTGTCTGCTCATGCTTCCAAACCTGCCCACAACAGGGGTTGTGCGCGCTTGTTGACCGGCTGCGGTCCGGGGGTCTACGGCTTCTACACATGGAGGGGGCCCAACGAGCCTCCAAACCTCGAAATTCCTTGTGGCTGGTCTAGAGGGCCTGGTGCCAGCCTGTAAAGCCAGGAGGTAGGTAGGCAGAACTGTCTCGGAGCACCCTTTCCTTCCGAGTCTGTCTCTGCTTCCTATTCTCCCAGGTAAAGCGCCTCTTCTGCGGGGCATGGAGCAGGTGCTCAGGTACAACAGCATTTGCATCTGGAGTGCTGGCATGGATAGGGTCGGATTTTGAACGTTGGACGGAGACCCACGGCAACATAGCTCGAACAGAGTTGTCCAGTTGTCATCATGTTGGGATATTTACGATTCCTCCTTGGGGCAACAGTGACCCTCGAGATGAAACATGACTCATGGTCCCCCTTACGGTCCAAGCCTTCTACGAGCAAGCACACAACCCGCGGAAATGGCCTCGCACCATGGCGACAGAGGGCGGCAACCACGACCGTTTTTAGGGCCGCTTCAGATGTGCTGCGGGATAACGAGGATCAAGCCACACAATGTTGCGGGAATTCTGAGACCAATCAAGACATGAAGACGGGTTTGCACCTGAGTCGAGGCAACAGACAGAAATACGGCAACAGACTCCCTGAAGTGAAACATCATGTGATTCAGCTTGTGCTAAACACGAAGGATCCAGGTTTAGACCCTCTCTAAGGACACAAGTGTGTGACAGGACGGACCGACATCGCACGAAGACTAGGCTGAGATCGTGCCCTTAGCTGCGACTCGACAAATATAGTCAGGAATGGAAGTTGCAGAGGTACGGCGACGACACACTCCACGACTGCAATCATACGCAAAGTAACAGCGTCGTGCCGTCCGATGCCTGCCGCGAACAAGCTAAGATCGGTCCATGCTTAGAGCTCTGTTGTGCTGGGAGCCTGCAAGTTACAACACGATGCAACGGCGAGGTAGCGGCAGAAGGTTGAGATCAAGCTCTTCACACAGGGAAGTTGGGACGACATGCGAAAAGCCAAGTTGGTGTTGCTGTGAACCCCTGAGTGACAGACGTGGGGCAACGCAATTGGCACTGCATACATTGCCAAAAACCAGATCCCGTTGCTGGCCCCCCGTGTCGTTCTGAGGGTCTTCAAATCAGCCTGGCAACCGCCGCCCAAGACCAGCATAAACTTGCAATATTGTGGGAGCCACTCAAACGAGCAATCACCCGGCATCACCTAGATTGTTAGCGGCTGTTAGCGTTTCTTAGTTTATCTCCTTCGCCAGGCAGAACCTCCTCTGTCAGGGCTTTGCCACGACATGACAAAGGCTCCACACCCGTGCAGCATGCTCCTATGATTGGAGCCGACCTCACTCTGGGCGAGAGTCGCTAGAGTGGCTCATGTGGCGCCCAGCGGTATGCCCGGAGCCTGAGTCAAGCAGAGCGATTGGAGAAACCCAGAGAGACTCAGAGATGCACCCGTAAGAGCGGCACTGTTTCAGGTTGCCCACGCCGAGACCGCCCTTCGTGAGCTTCAGGCCCAGCGGAAGCGACGGATTGCGGGGTCGGGTTGGCCACCGCCAGGTCTTGGCCTCGGAGCGCTTCCGCAGGAACGCTTTCTTCCCGGCGCTCGACTCGGGCCCCCCGACTCCCGGGTTGAAGATCACGTGATACAAATGCTCGAAGGCCGTTGTCAGGCCCTGGCGTCTGCTGGAAGAAACAAGTCCGCGGCGGAAAAAGGTAAGCCGACAGACGGGGCCTTGTGAAACCCAAAGAGCCTGCGCTGTCCTTCTGAGTCAGTGATCTCCTGCTGTGGAGGGAAGCCGCCGAGTGGACGGGATCACAAAGATCAGAGGCCCCCGCGCTCCTTCCAAGAAATAAACTTGGTTCCAAGCAGCAATTGGTAGTTGCTGGCACCTTCAGGTCTTGTGAAGCCCAGGTGCAAGTGGCACGAACCAGAAGCAGTGAGATGCCGGCTGCAGAGAGAGCGCCAAGCGTTTTGCCAAAAGGCCTGCGAGACAATGAAACTTCAGGAGGGCACCGACACACACCGTCTCAAAGGATGGTCGCACTCACGGTTGGTTTTCAAACTAGATCTGCTGGATGTTTGTCCTTGCTGACACATGCTTGTGCCACATGAAACAGATTGAGGCAAACGTGCATGCATGCTCAACACAGCTGGCTGCTACAGATTCTTTCAGTCATGTGAATGTAATCGAAAACGGCTCTTCAAGCTTGCTACATGATCGGTAACCGTTAACCAGCAGCGAGGATAACCATACACAGCGAGCATCGATTACGTTCGGAATCACTTCGCAGGTATGTGGTCAAGGCGTCCGCCAACCATATCCTGATGTGTGAACTGTCCTCGTTCATGGTCAGGCACGCACACACAGAGGCCCTAAACCCCAAACTTCGCAAACCCTTAAGTCCGAAACAGCTAAACCCCGACAGGCCGGACAATGTGGCTGCAGGCGCCATGCCTTCGGCCTGCTCTCAGCGGCTCTGCGGCTCGCGATGTACTGCGCAAAGTCGTAGCCACCGTAGTCGTCCTCGAGGTTCGTGGCTCGTGGACCCAGCAATCGCCGATAGTCCGCGATCGGGAGGCCTCGGGAAGCCGTGGAGGGCGGTCGAAGAGGAGCTCCCAGGCGACTTCGACCCACTGACAGTAGCGACCTGCCGCGCTTGGAGGCAGCTTTCTTCCCACCACGAGCTGCGGAGGCCTGAGGGTGTTCGCATCGTGTATCGCTCGAGGAAGGAATCCCCTGCCAAGGCAAAGCACCCCGCACCCTGCCGCAATCGCTCTAAACTGCTCCACCTCGGAAGACAGAGCGCCGGCCCGCCGAGCCCTGGTGCAGAGCAGAGAGGCACCGCTTGTTTCAGCTCTGCTCTGCTCTCCGTTGTTGTGCCTTGCTACTGGGAGCACGCATCCGGCAATAGCTCTGGATCTCACTGCCGACACGCCCTGACCTGTTGCTTCAGCGAGGTATCTGTTGAGAGGGTATGCGGACATGCCACCAAAAAGCGAGCGGAGTGTCAAACTTTCTTCGAATTGGTTA